AGCTTTCTCCACACAGTGTGACAGAAAGGAGGAGAAAGTGAACGGCGTATCCTCTGTGTTCCTGCTCGGCTCAGAGAGAGATGAATGAAGAGCTACGCTGAACACGTTAAACTAATTATTCTACACCGTAAACTAGTCAAAAAACATTTCTGCAAACTCTGTGAAAGTCGGTAATGGAGCTGTAGTGTAGTACTAGCCGACTGCCGGGAGTCGAGCGGAGTGACTGGAGTTGAAGGAGTGTAAAAGGCAGGCTCAGTCCCCGCCCCTCCTTTACCCCTTATTCCCCCTTTGTTTACCTCTGAAGATGGAGAAAATACCTGAAGGTGAACCGTTAAAGGAGAAGTCCACTGATTTTTCAAAACTCTGCATAATTACCTCTTGAGGAGATGTAAAGTCATTCAGAGTGGTTTGATGTGAAATTCAGAGTCAGAATTGTTCACACAGATGGTGTTTGGAGCCAGATGGCCAAAGAATTTAAAGGGGAATTCCACCAAATTTTCAAAATCTATGACTAATTCAGTGCTTGAGATTCATTGGAGTGGTTTGGTGTGAAATGGTTCATTGTAGAGAAATCTACAGACTCCTTTCTTCTGGTGATGGAAAAATTGTGATAATATGACAAAATAAGTTCTCTCTGGGGACTATTTTGCCTTACAACTCCCCCCCTGTGTACCCCTCTGCCATGAATGGAATAAAATAAATGGATTAAAATACATTTTAAGCCAAAACTTAACCATTCAACCAACATCTAACCATTTCATGTAATAACTGTCTGTGAGGGGGCTTTCAGAGGCACTAAACTCTTCAGACGTCTGGTTCCCATCACCACCACTGTGTGGTAAGTTTCTCTAGAACAAGGCATTTCACATTAAACAACTCTGAATGACTTTGTTTACATTTAAACCATTTAATTATGTACAATGGTTTTGAAAAATCCCAACCTCCAGAACTTCTAAGCGACTTCAGAAAAAAAGCCTGAGTGTGGGTGTGTGCATAGCACAAGCCCCGCCCCTCTCCGCTTGCTTTATTGTGATGGGATCTACCCATACAGCTAGTGGTTTCCATGAAAGATGATGAAAGCTTGATGCTAAGAAGGGACTGACGATGTATTAATGATACAGTTTTAAACTTCAACACTCTTGTTTACCCTTAAATAATGGTTAAAAAAAATATATGCGCATAATGCACAAAAACAGATTCATCAAAACTTGCAACTTTTCCAGAAACATTTCTAAGTGTTCTACACATCAAGTACTGTTTACCTTTTATCTCTAAATGTATAACCCTGGTGAAAATCAATGACTACGACTGTTTTAGAACAGACCTGGAAAGAGACAGACATGGAGAAGAACTTTGCTCCTTGTAGCAGGTTTGTTTTTTGGCACAGTGGGGGCAGATGTTTCTCAATCTCTGCATTTGTGGGTCTCGAGTGCACTTTGTGCCATCAGGGTCGAACGCACTGAGAGTGCAAGTATGGTTGAGAAACATGTTTTTTGACCTTATCATGGTGAGGTAAAGGCCTGAGTTAGCAGGAAGGCCTCCAGCTCTGAGCTCATAAAATGGACCATCGTTGTAAGAATTCTTACCAATTTAGTGGATGAAGAGGGAAATGTTGTTCCACTGTGTTTTGAAACGAATCCTGGCTTAAAATTGTAGCTGGAACAGGAATGGTGTTTAGCCATCCAGCCGGAGCTGACAGGATATTGAGTTTCGTAATAAAAGTATTTGGGAATGGAGGTGGAGGAAAGACCTTTTATTGAGCTGATGCAAGGCCCATGGTTTTAGGTGAATGAGCGCTTCCGAATAGTGGAGCAACTTTGCAGGTATCCAATATTACATGAGCCTTTCTGAATTCAGGCTATTAACTTTTAATGGGCTAAAAAATAGTATAATAACAACTGGAGCAGTCGGCCCATTCAATCCCTGCATGAAGTCTTTTCTGTTTCACCAAGACGTCTACAGACTACAAAGAACCTAAAATAAAAGTTATACTATATAGAATGCGATGCTGTAAATACTGAAACCAAAACTACATCTCTAACCTAAATCTCTAACTAACCTAACAAAGAGGGATTTCTGTTAACCAGATATATTAAACCTAAAGTAAAACTTGTCCAACAGGAGGAAAGATAACCTCTAGGAACCACCTACACCTGCTTAATCATGCGGTTTTCCAATCAGCCAATCATGTGGTAGCAGCACAGTTCATAAAGTCATACAGACAGGAACTCAAGGAAATGGGATAAAATCTGTTTGTGTCATGGTGGTTGGTGCCACATGGGGTGGTTTGAATATTTCAGAATCTGCTGATATCCTGGGATTTTTACAATCCAGGCCTCTAGAGTTTAAACCAAAATAGTGTAAAAACAAAAATGCAGAGTGGAGGTTCTGTGGGTGGAATCACCTTATTGAAGAGAGGGGTCAGGGGAGAATGGCCAGACTTGTTCATACTGACACCTTGAGGTGGATGGGCTACAACAGCAGAAGACCACATTGTGTTCCACTCCTGTCAGCCAAGATAGGAATCTAAGGCTACAGTGGGCACAAGATCACTGAACCTGGGTGGTAAAAGACTGAAAAAACGCTGCTTGGTCTGCTGATGGTAGGGTCAGAATTTGGTGTTAACAGCATGAAAGCAGCCTGCTGTGTATCAGTAGTTCAAGCTGGCAGTGGTGGTGAAATGATGTGGGGAATGTTTTCTTGGCACACATTGAACTAATACCAATCGAGCATTGTTGAAATGCCACAGCCTGTCTGAGCACTGTTGTTGACCATTTGTATCCCTTCACAGCCACAGTTTACCTCACTCGTCTAATGGCTACTTCCAGAATCGTAATGCACCCTGAGTCAACTCAAATTGTTTTCATGAGCATGACAATGAGTTCAGTGTCTTCCAATTTGTCCAGTTGATTCAATTACATGATGCAGTCATGTCAACATACAATAGAATCTTTGAGGGACGATTTCAGCACCTTGTTGAATCCATGCCATGAAGAGTTTAGACTATCCTGAGAGAAGAGGGGGCCCTACTCAGTATTAGAATGGTGTTCCTAATAAAATGGAAATATGTTGTAACATATTTTCAGTATATTACTTTTTTTGCATCGATTTTTTTTTTATTAGACACTCCTGACTTTTTGCTTAAGTTATTCAGTTGTACTGACAAATCCTGCTTTGTGTATTAACCTGCTGATCAGGAGCTTCAACAGCCACTACGTCAGACTTAAAATTTAATTCACTCGAAATGTCTAGCGCCTGGGGCTTAGCCTGAAGACTGTTTCCATTTCATGCTCTCTGTTTGCACCCTTTACGCCAGCACGTGGTGCTCCACTGCTCTGGAGATGGGTGATGTGGTTTTGAGGTTAACCCCCTCCTCTTTCCATCTCCTCCCCCTTCTGCATTAGTCTCTCTTTGAATCGTCCCCTTTAGTCTCATATTGTCTGGCTTCTCTAAAGTGTCTCTGAAAGTGGTGAACTCAGCTCTTAGTTGACAGTTAACCAAAGTCCTCCAGCACCACTGATTCTACACAGTACCCTCCCCCCCTCCCTCCTCCCCACACACAGACAAAGACATGCAAAAATTTAAGACCCAATAGAAAATGCTGGCACTGTTTGCAGTTTGCAACCAGTGCAAAAGCAAAGCAAATATTTGCCAGAAGGACTTAATCACTTCACAGTGAGTAATACAACACTTCAGTAAGCAATGGGACTAGTGAACGAGCCCAAAGCCGGTGATGATTAAGTAGAGAAGCTGAGATAAAGCTCAGTCAGAGAAAATTGGAATAGAATGGGCAATAATAGTGAGGCCTCCTGCTCTGCTCTGGTGCCTGTGGAAGCTCTGAGTCACAGCATTACAGACAGACAACACGGCCCAGCGCTCCAAAACCACTCTAATTAAGCTTGCTGTGACGTCTAAAGCCAGCTTGCTGCTGGAAAAAGACACATCAGTCACTTTTCCAACACACAGCATGCTTCACTGCCAGGGTCATAAACCCTTCACCCCATTTCGCACCCATTTTGAAAGATAGCAGCTGTCACTGTTGAATGTTAGTAATCAAGTAATCGATTCTGATGATTAATCAAATCATCTACAAAGGCCAGTTTAGTGGAAAAGAAATTAAGAAGACTTTAAATGGGAATTGCACTTTTTCTATGTAATTAAATGGCTGAGATGTAAACAAAGTCATTCAGACAGATTTGATATGAATGCTCCGATCTAGAAAAACCTGAGGTTCTAAGGGGCGTTCTAAGGCAAAATAGCCTCCAGAGAAAACTAATATTTTTCAGATTTACCACTATTTTACCATTATCAACAATACATATAAAAACTCACATGTACGTTCATTTTTGGTAGTAAATAAAATGGCTGCATTTGCTCTGTATATATCACAACCCTTGGTTTTGTTACCACCACTGTAAAGAAATAAGAGCAGGTAAATTTCTTGAGGCTCTAAAATATCTTCTTAGCAATTAAGATAAGCAGAAACAAAACAAATTCAGCACTGAAATTCCCCTTTAAAAGATAAATAAAAAACACCATACAGTGTGAAATGCACAAAAAAGAGTGCGTCAATCAGGCTAGGTTTATTACCATAAGAGAGACAAGGAAGAACATTTAAAATATGCATTAACATCAGGGAAATTGCCAACTAATTGATGCCGATTCACTGAGTTTTGAGTAATCATAACTACTAACTCACTCTTTATATGTATATAGATATAGATTGACTGTGTAGATATAGCCCTAACTCCCCTGTCTCCAAACACACAAACCAAATGTGTGATTAATTGATGTAAGCCACAAGAAGAACAGCTGCATTCCACATTTTAACCAGCAGGGGGTGGCAACATCGTTTATGTAAGGCTTGACCTCAAGGTCTAGTGAGCTCTCCAAAAACAGTGCCATGGTGGTGCTCTTTTTTCAAACAATTAGGTTAACAAGGTGCTCCATGCAGGTCATAAACAGTAAAACAATGGCTGCTGTGTGAGTGGAGAGGCTACCTTGCGTCAGCTGGGTGGGTCTGGTGACGGGAACTCCATCAAGTGAACAGAGGTGTCCACAGGGGTCAAGAGTGATGACCCCGCCTCTGTTCTCAATAAGGCAGTGCTCTGCGTCAATGCCGGGGCCTTCAATGGTGATGTCCTGGGGCACAGGGGCGTCATCGCGGCCAATGCGTGTTATTCCTACAACACAAGAAAGATCAGTGGGGAATTTTAATTGTGTATAATAGAACTGAAAATCCTGCCTTATTACAAAGTAAAAAAAAACTATTAATCGTTCTTTGGCTGCCAGTTTCTCTGTCTACCTTTAAATCATCTTATCTGTTTAATCTACACATGCTGTGCCTGTTAGCTCAGCTAACAGTGATGCAAATGAAACCTATCTAGCTGTGTGGTTTTGCTCTGCCTTCTCTGCTTTGCCGCCTAAAGGCTCTTTATAATTGAATTTTGATGAAAACACAGGCGCTGTACGGGATTTCCCACTGGATGAAAGACGCCATCCTCCACGGTTTAATAGCGGAGCAGAAATATGGCCGCCTTTAGACAAATACTGGCAGCAGGACCGGAGGCCTTGTTCGGAGGAAACAGTCTGTGTGGAAATGGCGCTCTGTGTGAAAAACTGTTCAACATTTCCACTCTGGACTAGCCAGCACAGTCTCCCACACTGCAGATGTAACACAGATCCTCCTATAGGCCTCCCTTCAGCACCTCATGGCCTACAGTCACTACAATGGAGAACACAAGTCTGTTGTGTTAATATGAAGCATAGTTAGTCATATAATACTCTCTTAATGAGTTACAGAAGTGTCTGGGCATGTCCAAATCTTTAGCTGGTCCACTCTTTGGCCAGTAAGGTCCTAGATCAGCACTCCTACTCTGAAAGGTTTTGTGAGTATAGGCTCAGGCTCTTATCAGGGTCATCCTTATCATATCCTCAGGGTCCTATGTTCCCTGAGTCCTTTATTTTCTCACTGAAATTTCTAGGCAGCAGCCCTATGTTTCCAGGGCCCTGTGTATCCCAAACCTTTGTTCCCTCTTGGAAACAGCCCTATATTTGCAGGGTCCCACTTTCCTTTGAAATGTTCATGAGCAATAGGTCTATGTTCTTGTATTGCCTCAATCATACTTCCTCAACATGAAAATAAGAGTAACATCCATACTTCTGATATATTTACAAACTTATATGTTTAGTAAATAAAATCGGAAATAGTTTTATGTACTTTCGAAATAGATCCCCTTATTGAAACACAGTCTGATTGGACATTTCAGTGAACACAATGAGAATATATTTAGTGATAAGCAACATTTAATGGTTTTTAGTCTGAATTTTATTTGAGCTTCACAATATTAAGAACATTGCAAAACATTATCAAAGCTGGCATCCGTGCTAATAATGGAAGTGAGTAGCATGCTAAGGGCTACAGAATTAACAGCAAAAAAGAAGGGCAGTGCACCACACTTAAACCAGACAAAGCAATTATTCAAAATGTTTATGTATTCTGCCCTCTAATTTCTCAAAAAATGGACTGAATTCCAGTTTCTTAGATCACAGTTAAGTCTAGAAATCTGATTACGAATCCGATAATGAGAGCTGGATTTTAGCTCAGTAATCAGATTTCTCAGTGCATGTAAACTCAAGCGAGCAGCGCTGCCACGAGATGCAGCAAAACACTTTTGCTACACACTACATGCTTCACAAAATGAAAGCTTTAAATATTCTTCATCTTCTAGATGATGTATGTTCATATTTTTAGGTGTGGTGTGATGTTTTTACAAAAAGCTGTGAATTTATTGGCTGGTTGCAAAGCAGAAATCTGATTACTGCCTGAGTTTTTCATTATCTGATTTCTCAAGTGCATATAAACGCGTTGATAGGATTACTGACAAAATCTGATATATTGCAGTTATCAGATCGTTAAGTGCATGTAAACACACTCAGTGTGCTTTTCTACTGGAAGAAAATGCTCCTCTTTGTTCCTTGTATGGCCTTTAATGACCACTTGATGTTAACCAAGAGCTTGGAAACCCTTTCAGAGGTTCTCTTAATGTAGCCCTTTGAGATATGATGTATCATAGAAAGAACTGAACATAGGAAGACAGGTGCATTCCCTTCTTATCTACTTGAATCAGAAGAGACACACAAGCCTGAAACTGATAGCAAAGTTAACAATAGCTAAACTAATGAATAATGTATTAGAAACAGCCAAAATCGGCCAAAATACCATAAATAATTAGCTGTCTGGCTCAAATCACACATTTTTTGGTTGTTCTGAGTACCATGCATGCAAACACCTCCACAACAAGGAAGGCTTTTTCCTCAGTTACACCTTTACAGATGGTATGATTTGGTGAAGGGTGGGACATCCTGAAGTACAGATTGCCATGCTGAGTGCTGAGAGCTATCCCATTCATATTTCAACCAGTGAACTCGCCCCTCTTCTGAAAATGCCTCTGGCTCACCACTAAATCAGAAATCCAGGCTTTTATTTTTGCTGGCTCCCACCGGGAGGAAGCGAGGTCGACTTCTTGTCCTTTCTCTCGTCTGATAGTCCGCATTCTTCATTTCCTCTCTCTGTCTCTGATTGCATTCCTGTGTCTCCCACGGCAGCAGTGATAACGAGGTCGGAGAGGTGGACAGAGTGATGGTCTGTTTTAGTACTGTTTTTAACATTCCCTCATCAGCTCGCCCTGATGCCATCTGTTTCACTGCTGTTTTACTTCACATGGAAATTGGTAGATGACCGCTTGGATAGGCAATGAAAAACACTGCGATCTGATGCAATTTCTTTCTCAAACAAGAAAAATGAACAGGATTGTCGATAAAGGTGCAGCCGATGAAAAAGCTCCCACTGTTCTTGAGATATGTGCATGAATACTAGCCAGAACATCCTGAAAAGAAATATTCTTGTGTGTTATTTTAGCCAAAGAGCAAATTATTCATGACATTTTGGCAGATTTTACCAGCAATATCAAATGTGTTAATCATTTAAGCCAGAACAATAAAATATATCCTATTTAAAACCTGCAAAATTTGACTTGCTATGTTCAAATAAGGCTTTAAGTGGCTAACGACACGCTTTAAAAAGATGGTTGTTCAAGGGTTCCTTAGTAAAGAAAATGGTTCTATATAGCTCTATATATGAACGCTCAAAGAACCCTTTGCATGATTAAATGGTCATTCACATCATGAAAAGGTTCTTCAGACTGATGGAGAATGTGTTGTATATGGTTTTATATCTATCTATCTATCTATCTATCTATCTCTCTCTCTCTCTCTCTCTCTCTCTATATATATATATATATATACATATATATAATCTTTTTGAAAAGTGTTGTATTTAGCACCCAAAGGGTTCTTTTATTGTTTGACTTTGTCCCAATAGCAGAGCCCTTTTGGGTGCTATATAGAACCATATACAACACATTCTCCATCAATCTGAAGAACGTTTATACCTTGCAATGAGCCATTCATCCTTAACATGTGAATGGACACTTATAAAGGAGATGCTACGCTAAATGAATTAGGGGATGAAGTTGGTGACACCATGTTAAAAATATGATTGACACGCAGAGAGAGAATTTGTGCTTGGCATGCGGATGTGGCGTGTCCAAGGCAAAACCCGGTGACCACATGAAATTAAACCCAGGTGAAGCCTCCTCATCTTCTCTATAAGACAAAGGCAAAATGAACTCCACCCTGTTTTGTGCTATGGGAGCGTCGGCATCAGAAAGGTGACCCCCTCCCCCCATCCTCCTTCCTCTTAGATAACCTTAGCATTGCATTCATCCTCCGTAGCGCCTTAGGCCCCCGAGTCAGCGCTAACAATAGAAGTCACATGCATCCTCTGTCCCACAGAGACAATCACTTTCAGCAGACAGAGCAACAAAGACAGTCTGCCTTATTTACAGCCCAATAACCAACAGACGCTCTTCACGTGGGCCACATTTGCTTGAGCCTTGTAAAGAATGTGTGTGTATGTGTGTGAGCGTGATGGAGAAAGACTTACCCTCCTTCAGAGGTAGTACAGTGATGGCCACGCTTAGCCTACCACTGCCCAGACTGACCAGATGAGGGGTGGCTGTCTGTACCTTCAGGCCTTTCCCTGTGTCAATCAGATCCAAGGGTGGGCTCTGCACAGACAACACCTCAGCTTAGAGGACCAGTTGGGCTAAAAAGCAAATTTATATGATATTCCCCTTTTCCAGAGTTGTTCCAGGGTTTTCTTTAGTTTTGCACTGAAACTATGAAGCTAATGTAGCTACCAAGTAATGGAACCTTAAAACCATACTAGTAATAAATGTAGGTAGCCTAAAACACTTGCCTTAAACTCCAACAAGCTAGGCAATCTATAGTCTTATATACAGACGGATGACAAATTAAAGGAAGAACATGATGAGTGCAGATGCTTCCAGGTGTACTGCATGGAACAGTTTGGCAGTTAACATCCTACAATACTCTGTGCCATCTCTCAAAATGGGGGCTCAGGTAACCTCAATTTTGGGTAAAATTTTAGATTAAATTCCATATTCTTGACAACAGGGCGAATGTATGTAAGAACAGTACAGGCCTAAATGCTTGATCCCTACAGTGAGGGCTCCCGGTGGCTCTGTTATGCTACGGAGCGCATTTTGTTCTGATGTGTTGGGTCCACTTGTCCACTTAGAGGGAAGGGTCACTGCAACTGTCATCATTAAACCAGCAATTGAGGGGATATCTTTTGGAAGAACGGTGTTCCATCTCAACGATACAATTCCAGCATAAAGTCCAAGCCAAGAGACACCAAAGCTTTTATGGAGGTTTGTTGACCCAACACCTTACTAAGACCCTTAATGCTAGTTTTTCCTTTGTCATAAGTCATTATGTGGTTTCTGGCTCTATATGACACACTGTTACACTTAAAATGGGTAAAAACACAGTGCATTGCTAAAGACAGTTCAAACAGCCATTTTGAAGAAGAAATTTGAATGTACTTTTAGCCATTTTTATAGCATAACAGTATGTCATACAGTGTCTGACACCGCATGAGCAAGTTAATTTAAGATTACTAAATAACTCAATCCAGTTTGAGGAAGGAATTTGATGATTTAGAATGCAGTTAGCAATACTAACTGAATGGTAAATCATCTGGTACAGCATAAGCTTTCATTATTTGTTAGCTACATTAGCCACATAGATCCAGGGCAAAGCTAAAGAAGCAAACTTCAGACACCGAACATGTCTTAGCTAAATTTGGGATAATGGGAAAATGTTTATTATTTGCCAAAATAATAATAATAATAATTTTGTTATAACCACTTATTAGCATCACAAAATGTGATTCCAGTCCCTGAATAGTCAGAATTGGTGTACCAGGAGCTCATCACTGACCTTAGGAGACTCGAGGTTCTGGTCAGATTCTGGTTGCAATATGTTCTCTGAACAGTCTGTCTCAATGTCCTGCAGAACAAAGGAAAAATTTAAGTTGCAATGTCACATCTTTACACACACACACACACATATTAGAACCAGACGGTGCTCCAGATGCAGACCATCCGTAGAAGGGATGTCTGCAGCTGGATGGCTGGATGACAGCACAGATTGGAGCTGTAGTTTGTCACAGAGCGTTCTGCAGCGACTCTCCCAGGAGAACCCCAATCACTCTGTGACTGAACCCTGAGAATCCAGATAAGGGATTACAGTTAATTGCACTAAAACAAGTGTACTTCAACACTGACACTAGTAGTGCCCTGCACCCCCACAAAAACAGACCCAAACACAAGACTTAGTCACTCTCAAATGCTCCGTAATATACGGTGGAATGTGTGTGTGAAAATAAAAAACCTTCTAAGAGGGACAAAGTAAATGGCTGCAGAACAGGGGGTGGGAGGAACAGGCAGGAATGTTCTGGGCCTGCAAGTTCCCACGAATCACTGGGAGTGTTTGGCACATGGTGCCAGTGGAGGTACGGTGAGAATGGGCTGCCCTTGCTTTGGTCCAGCCACCCTGGAGCTGACTGTTACCACGGAGCTGGACACAGCAGCCCCACCCACACAGCCAAGTGTTCCACAGCTGTGGCATGAGACTCCCACACTGCCCTCTGTTAGAGCTGTTTGGTACAGCTGAGGTGGGGCACAGCTAGGTTTATGGGGGTCAGAACCTAAAGGTTTATTTATATTTTATACAATCATATGTACATGTACGCCATTCCTACTGCTTCCTACTGATATGACAAAATGAGCCCATACTCTACATTTTTCTCCTTATTTTTTATTTGCCCGCTGAAGTGCACAAGTTAGTTCCCATCCCCGCAGTCTGATTGGTTGAGAAGTGTTACCACAAATAGCAGCACATTTTTTCTCCACAATAACAGTTTCATTCTGCTGAGCAAAATAAAAACTTGCTTTACGCTGCAACTATCTGCTATTTTCTACTGTAACACATAACACACATACAGAAACTTGATACATATAACTATTTGACCTGCAGCCTGTTTGGTCAGATTATAAAGAAGACTGTGACAGGACAATTACATCAGATGCTGAACCTGTTGTTGCCCCAAGCAAGCTTTTCAGTCAACAGCTGCGATGGCAAAACAACAAAACAAACTGGAATCAGCCAGAAATTAACACAATACAAGGCAACAAATATAATGAGCTGTCAAAGGCTTTACAGTCTGACTGGAACAAAACGTTCAGGTTAATCTGGCAAATATTGAAAATGCTGAGCTGAACCCAATATTGCAACAGTTTCTTTACAGTTTGAACCATAAAACTGTCACAAATACTGAAAACGCTGAGCTGAACCTGATATTGCCACAGTTTTTTTTTCAGTTTGAGCCATAAAACTGCCGCAAATATTGAAAACACTGAGCTGAACCTGATATTGCGACAGTTTGATGGCTCAAACAATAACACAAAAGGGTATTGCTTTTTTAATGGAAGAAATTGCCAGTATTAAGGCACATATGATGTGACCACATCACAGCCATGATGTTATTTGTGACTCCCTTTGTTGCTTATTATAATCCTTGTGTGGTTTTACATATCAAAAACTTTTTAAATTTATTTATTATTCATTTGTACATGATTATCTTCCAACTTTTAAGTAAACAGTCCATTTTTATATACTGTTTCTTTAAGACTACAACATTTAAATGACCTCTGTTCTGATTGGCTGACCCTTTTGCAAGTGAAATGAGGCACACCATGTTTGAAACAAGAAGTGAGATGAAAGGTACAGGACAGATTGTTAGGTTTGGACCGAAACCCTCACTGAAAAAATTTCAGCTTCAGCGGTTGTGGCATCACAACCACTATGAGTTTGGTTTGTTTTGGCAGCTTAGTTTCCATAAACAGACTGGACTGTATGGAGTAAGGAGTGAAGAGTATGTTTTAAAATATTTATATAGTACATTACACTGTTTTGTTTCAAAGTTAGTTTTTTCATGATATAGGCCCCTTAAATGGCCCTTTGTAGAGTGATGTTATAGTTTGTGCTGGTGACAGGGCTGTCCACTCTCCATGCAGCCTGAAATAGTCATTTAAAAGTTGGAGGCGTTGTTTTTTTTATGGACCACGTCGCACATCTTTATGTACTAACGTCACACGCACAAGCCCAAAAAGAAAGTCCAGCTTGGGTCTCAAATGCAAAATCAACATTATACTGATTCAGCTATGACAATAGTAGATAATTCACTTATATCCTCATGGGACACAGCCTTCAGCATGTTTTCAGTTTTTTTTGAATACTGTCTCAATGCGCTCACAACCATCAGATTCATCCAAGGACTGAAGCACATCTAAAGTTACAAAATGTTCTTCTGCACATTGCATGCAATTACACCTTTCTACCAGAGAGGTCTCCAAATCCCCAAAACATACATAGTGTAGCTGCAATGTAATGAGATTTTATTCCGAACATAGCTATAATGGAATTCTATGATATTAACATCCGTATCCTCAGATCACTTATCAAAGTCAGCCAACCAGATTAAGTGCCAATCAGCCGTAACACCAGATGAAATGTGCCATAAGCCTGAAGAGAGTTTATTAGTGCCTCAGGCAACCCTGGAGCCTCAGGCTAACCCCCTGCAGCCCCGCTCAGGCTTGGACAGAGAGGAAGGCCGTGTCACAGCCGGCTTGCAGCGCTCCTGTTTCCTTAGATTGAGAATTCACTTCCCGTGTGAGGTCACTGCTGTTCAAACACTCTACTCTCCGCTCACACGCTGGACTCCAGCTCAGGCTGCACAGCTTATTGCTCTAATCTGCTTCCCCTTATCACGCCGAACACAATACACGTATCGTATTTCACCTCGTAAAGCAGCGCCCGTGGCAGTGCTTTTCGCTTGAGGGAAAACACAAGCAGGTTCTTTGTGCAATGACTCATTCAGACGTTTTTAACTTTGTTGATGGTGGTTCAATGGAGGCCAATGCGGGGGGAGGGGGGTGCAGGATAAACACTTTTCAAATCACTGTAGATATGGATTTAAAGGGGAGTTCCACTGATTTTTCAAACTTTCTGCACAATTTAGACCTTCAGATGTAAACATCATTCAAATGGTTTGGTATAAAATGATTCATTGTAGAGAAACTTACATGGGACTTCTTTGGGATTTGTGGTGGTGATAGGAACCAGGGGTCATGATGATGCAAATAAAGGCTTTTTACTAACTGTTCAAAATGACCAGTTATCAAACACATGAGTTTTTTTACATAATGTCAGTATACTGGTAAAATAGTGGGAAATCTGGAAAAATAGGTTTTCTTTAAAGACTATTACAATGCCCTGCATGTGCCACTCTGCCATGAATGGCTTGTTAAAAATAGGGAAAAATCTCATCTCAAAGGTTTTGCAGAACAAAGTCACAGGTCAGGCGTCAGGGAGTGTGTTAACAAGCATTTCATGTAACTTTCTGTAAAGGAACTTTGAGAAGCATTAAACTCTACAGACATCTGGTTCTTATCACCACCACTGTGAACAATTCTCATAGCATTTCACACCAAAACACCGAATGATTTTGCTCACATCTTAATGATTTAATTACGCAGCAATTGGTGGGATTCCTTTTTAACGTCCATATAGAGCCAACAACTTACATTTATACCAGAAAATAGTGAACCATTTTCATCTATTCTGATTACTTTGCTTTATTATTATGTTGTGTTAATTATTCATGTCTTATTTGCTTGTTCGTCTATTCTGTTTCAGCAGGATGTCAATTCCTTCAAGCAATGAAATATTATCTATAAACCTTGTTGAAAATGGAAGTCTCTAGAAGTTCATGTTTACTGACCTCTCTGGAAGGGCTGTCTACAATGACATGACCTACTTTCTGACCATGTAAGGGCCTCCTCCACTTACTATAAGCTCAAGCCCCCCCTTCCCCCAGGTAGGTGAGCGTGTTCCTACAGGCCTGAGTCTGTGTTATGCCTCTAAGTATCGCTCAGGTATGTCGCCCCGGGACATGCATTCTGCTGCCAGAGACATTCCTCAACGCCACAGTTCGATCATATCAATGGCCTTGGGTGAGGGTTTTACTATGGCCAGATAAAGGTAAGCTAGGGGTCCAAGCACTGATTTCTGTACCTTAACACATTCTTTATGCCATTGACTTTTTCTTTAAAGAACTTGTGCAGGTGAAAACTGAAAGAATGCAGGCATGTTTAGCCAGCTACAGCCACATCAAACGGCAAAAAGAAGCTTCTAATGCTGCCTGTTTTGGCTATTTGCACATAAAATGATGGTGTTGGTAGCAGAGATAGGAAGTGAGGGAGGATCTCTGGATTCAAAAACAGCGTTTAATTCTGAGGATTGATGAAAAGAACGGAAAGAGAAGAAACACCCAAGCACAATAAGCTTGAAAAAGATCAAGATGTCAGATGTTGGATGCAGAGACAGAAGAGGAAACAGGGGTGGTACAAAGAGCTATTTGAGTCCATACTCTGTTTACTAGCTGCTGAAGTGGGAGGGAGTGATGGAGGAAACCTTTATTTCAGCTGCGCTGCAAATGGAGCCATCAAAGGGTGTATGTGGAGACTCCACATCCTTGATTGGACTCCATAAAGACTCGGATAGTGTCGTGGGAGCCCACACAAGGTGCCAAGGCCAATGGGCTGGATGGGTGGGGGTTTTTAAAAAGGGAAACTGTCTGTCAACCTTGCCCCTGTTTTCATTCCTCCCCCTCATCTAATCTAGCACAAACATTGGGCTAAAACACAGCCACTTTCCAGGTCATTTAAGATCCTTCAAGCACAATCTGACCCTAGATTTGGTCCACAAAGTGGGAAATAGTAACATGTTAAAACTGTACTATGTAAGATGTTTTGTTATGATTAAAAGAAGTAGCATTGCTGAGTGAAAGATGGTGTCCATGCGCTTCTTCAAGTTACCCTCTAAAGCCTAAAATAGTCATTTAAAAGTCAGCGGCGTCGGATTGGGTTTTGCGGGAGTTTTACGGA